GAGATAATAGAAGTAATTAGCAGCCGTGTGCAGGATGTGGGTGGTGATAGTGTCTGCTTACCCGGCTGTAACTCATACCTGGCAGGTGCGTTCCTTCCCACCCTCCCGGTGACCACGGATCCATTTGTTCTATGAAGAGCTGACGTGGATGGCCGACCTCGGCTCTCCTGTGTAGGAATGTTCCGACTCTTCTATAGACCTCGGCATGGAGGAGACCTTCTGGGATTACCAAAAGGAAAGCTACAGCTTGACCCAAACTAATACACGAGAGGGGGAAGCTCAGATACCCCAATTCCTGCACCTTCATGCCTCAGGTCACCCCAGTTCCTGCACTTTCACCCTCAAATTGGCCCCACCTTCACCCCTCGGATCGCCGCCCGTTCCTGCTCCTTCCCCCCTCGGATCGCCGCCCGTTCCTGCTCCTTCCCCCCTCGGATCGCCGCCCGTTCCTGCTCCTTCCCCCCTCGGATCGCCGCCCGTTCCTGCTCCTTCCCCCCTCGGATCGCCGCCCGTTCCTGCTCCTTCCCCCCTCGGATCGCCGCCCGTTCCTGCTCCTTCCCCCCTCGGATCGCCGCCCGTTCCTGCTCCTTCCCCCCTCGGATCGCCGCCCGTTCCTGCTCCTTCCCCCCTCGGATCGCCGCCCGTTCCTGCTCCTTCCCCCCTCGGATCGCCGCCCGTTCCTGCTCCTTCCCCCCTCGGATCGCCGCCCGTTCCTGCTCCTTCCCCCCTCGGATCGCCGCCCGTTCCTGCTCCTTCCCCCCTCGGATCGCCGCCCGTTCCTGCTCCTTCCCCCCTCGGATCGCCGCCCGTTCCTGCTCCTTCCCCCCTCGGATCGCCGCCCGTTCCTGCTCCTTCCCCCCTCGGATCGCCGCCCGTTCCTGCCCCTTCGCCCCCTCGGATCGCCCCCCAGTTCCTTCGCCCCCTCTGATTAGCCTCTGTTCCTCTTCTTTTTTTTAACATTAGCAGACTTGTCAGGCCGGCACGCGGTTATAGACGCACGGTTTCTCAGCATAGCTTGTTGGCGGCTTTCAAGGATGTCAGGGAGGTGGGCGGGCCAGGCTTGGTAACTTAGTCTAGTGCGCCATCATGTGCATGCGTGGCACGGGTTGCTGACCCCTTGGTTTAAATGCTTATTTGGCTGGGGAAGGGGGGAATAAGTCCAAATACTGAAATTATTCCTGGCTCTGCATTCTTCTTCCTGTCAGTGTGACTGGTCCCTTTAAAGGTGATTCACTTTCCTGCCCAGTCGGTCACAGCTCTCTGACATCATCGCGTATAACACGGGACCAGCAGTCCTGCATTGTATAGGGGGGTGACGAGGACCCGCGCACACATTCCGGGAGGAGGGAAGCGTCAGGGGAGAGCGCGATAAGCTAGTGTTCTTTCGTTCCTCCTCGTCTAGCATGTGACCCGTGTAGTGCAGAGGAGACCCCACTGCATGAGCACATATGAATACAGCCGGCGTTGGGCTATAACCTATCTGGCCGTAGAGAAAGGTATGCGAATGGAAAATATAGGACAATTGCAAAGAATAACGCATGACTGTAACGGGAAGTTCCACTCCCTTCATTGATCAGTATGTCTGCACACATCGATGTTCGGCTTTCCAGGCAACGTGTCAGTGAAAAATGAGGTTGAAGTTGGTCAAAGGCGTATTGTATAGTAGGCGGCGTGGAGAACAATGGCTCATTGTGTGACTTCAGGTCCCCCCATCCCCGGTACTATAGAGGCGGGAGAAATTTCACATAAGATGGACGCACGATGGGATTTTCCATTCCACTGGACAGCAGCGGGGACAGCAGCGGGGACACCAGCGCGGGGACACTCATTGCCCCGTGCACTGTATGGGCCCCTCCGTGTAATGTAATGGAGTGAAACTACACTTTGAGCAGCAGGGTAGGATGCAGGCGAAGGGGGAGATCTATCAAAACTGGAGCAGACAGAATCTGGAGCAGTTGCCCATAGTAACCAATCGGCTTCTCTATCTCCATTTTCCAACCTTAACTGAACAAACTGAAGCTGATTGGTTACTATGGCCAACTGCTCCAGATTCTGTCTGCTCCAGTTTTGATCAATTCCTCTTAAAGTGCTTCTGTATGCAAGTAATACCAGAATAATCCCATCAATGATTGGCATGGTGCTCCCTTATTGATTCAAGAGGAACTTTACTCATATCTTTGAAATGACAACAAACACACCTTTTAGAAATTTTTAGTAATGACAATCTACAAACACATACTTCTAGATAATTGCCGGCTTTGTATTCCTTATCTTTCTTTCCTTCCTCAGTCTTCTCACAGTGGCCATGTTTACTAAGGGCAGGTTTCTAGATCTCCCTTTACTTCCTGGAACTCTCACACAAGTGACTAGGACATGTGACCATGCACATCATCTCAGGGGAGGAAAATACCGTTCCACGAGATCTTGTGAGATTACAGATGAGATTTCCCAGCAATACTCTGCTGGTGTATCCTTCCCAGGATGCAAAGCTTGGGCACAGGCTGCATCACTAATGCTCTAGAGACCCCTAATGTCTCCATAAAGAGGACCTGTCAGTGTACCTGTGCTATTATATAGGGGGATGGTATCCCCCTATGTAATAGCAATAATAATAAGTGTAAAAAAAAATATATATATAAATAAAAAAAATAAAATCACATATAAAACAAGTTAAAGGAAAACTCCCAAAAAGTTTAAGTCCCCCACCCCCACATTTACGCACATATAAACGTAAATATGCGTACGGTGCACCAGCGCGCGAAAATGACAATTGCGCTACACGCGTTACATATCGCCGTGAACGTCGCAGTGAGAGCAATCATTTTAGGGCCATCAATCACTGACAACACTAAACTGATGAGCGGTAAAAGCTTTTAAAGCGTCGCCTATGGCCAATTTTGGGTATTATCGTTTTTTGAGGTTTGCGCACGCAATTTTAAGGTTTGACATGTTTGATGTCTTTTTACCCGACGTGACCCCCCGTCTCTAGGGGGTGTAACACAACGCGGACTTCAAGTGGTTAATGAATGTAAAATGATTTCAGAGCTGAATGCTAAGGTGATTTTTAGTGAAAGGGGGTAAAGGTTTACTTTAAGAAGATGATCAGCTATAGCAGTTGGTGGCCATGGTATTGCTGGCTATTAAAGTGTATATCCAGCCCAAACCTTTTTTCTTTTTACTACGTATGTACAGTCAGGGTGGGTGTTTTGTACATTTAGGTTTTTATTTAATTTAATTTTACTTATAATTTGCCTCCTTTTCAAGGAAGGCGATGAGCGTCCCTCCTGGTAGATTGCCTAGATAGGGGTCAGTTAGCTACAGTCATGTGACCAGCCATATGCAAATAGATTTATCTCGTTCAGCCTTTTCCCAGAGTAATCTTCCCTGCCGGGCTTCTGTATTCGGACAAATATCAAGATCTTCCCTAGGGAATGAGTGTGGGGTACCGCATCCCATAATAGGTACAGCCACACAACAAATAGAAGACGGGTTTTTGAGGTACCCACATAAGCACTCACAGTGGTTGGTATAAAATATGCGGCTCCTGAATAAATACTTAAATGTGCGATTTGATCGTGCTGGAGTCTACGTTCTTATCACCCATAACTAGCCAACTCCCATCAACAAGAGTATAGTGCGTCAAAAGCCATCCTTCATGGGTATACTTTATTGGTGATGTTCTCTACGTGTTTTGCAGAGATTACGCCGCTTTCTCGGGAGTATTTAGGGTAGTACGTGTGCCAATGAGTCGTGTGTATCTAAAACCAGGAGGGAAGTAGCGTGGCCTTAGGGCAGACTCCACCCCATGCCAGGCCGGCATACTGACATGTAAAGTAGCCGCTCTAAGTCGGATGAGAGGATATGCAATTCAACGTTGGTGGTATAGTGGATGGGTAACAGAAGAGCGGGCCCACCTCCTCCCGCACCGACAGGTGTGGTAGCCAGTACCAGAACAGTGGATACAGGCACTGTTAGGCTCCTTTAACAAAAGTCAGTTGAAAGATAAGCTATTGTCGAGCCGGGTGTTGCCAACAGGGCCACCCATAGCTTGAATTTGGTTGGCCACCCATAGCTTGAATTTGGTTGGCCACCCATAGCTTGAATTTGGTTGGCCACCCATAGCTTGAATTTGGTTGGCCACCCATGGCTTGAATTTGGTTGGCTACCTATGGCTTGAATTTGGTTGGCCACCCATGGCTTGAATTTGGTTGGCCACCCATAGCTTGAATTTGGTTGATTCAGCCAAGTGTATAGCAGGCTTAAAAGAGAACTATGGGGTAAGTATTTTTCCCCATAGTTCTCTTTAGGGATCCGTCCCGGCTGCGGCGCCCTCAGTATATTGCGGGCAATAGCACTCGATATACTGAGCTTTAGGTCATGGGAGGAGGTTAGAATATGTCCTCCCATGACCCAAGGCTCAGTATATAGCGAGCTATTGCCCGCAATATACTGAAGGCGCCGCAGCCGGGACGGATCCCAACAATGCTGTTAAAATCCACGCAGCTGCGTGATTGACAGCTGGCTCTGCCTATCTAGAGGCAGAGCCAGCTGTACCCGCCCCCTCCCGTTCCTCCACTCAACGCTGGAGGATCGGGGAGGGGGGAATTCCTGCAGGGAGATGATTGGAAAGTAAGCGAGCGACGGTATGTGTTCCCTCACTCCCCGATCGATAGAGCCGACGTGCGACAGCTTTTTTTGTCACAGGTCGGCTCTAACTATGAGGATGAGTGGAAATCACTCCCCTCATAGATCTCCTTTTTAGTCTACCCAATGGAAATGTTTTGACTTTTTTTTTTTATTTTTTTTTATTATTATATAAGAGTCTCCTTAGGGAGTATGCAGGTGGAACCGGTCCTGTTTAAACCTTGGCTACCTAGTGTCTGGTGTTTGCTTTTTACATGGGTGTCATCATGCCAGGATCAAAAGAGCTCTCTATGGCCCTTAGAAAGAAGGTTGCGGCTGTCTGGGAGTCTGGGAGGGATTTTTAAAAGATTGTGAAATTCAATAAAATATTCCAAAGTCGGTTAAAATCTAAACCACTTTATTAAGTGACTGCTCATTTGTCCATTACTGGCCCGCTCAGCAAATTCAGACAAAAAGCTGACTGATGCTAAAAAGTCTGCAAGGATCACAAAATGTCACTGCGGGATCTGCATGGGATCTCTTCCATCCTCTGGAACTCTTTACCCCAACCTGTCCGTCTATCTCCCACCTTGACTGCCTTTAGGCGTTCCCTAAAGACTCATCTCTTCAAGGAAGCCTATCCCACCTCAACCTAACCACTGAACCATCACATTCTCAAATAATTCATCCCCACACAGCTACCTCCTCATGTATCACTGGCCCTTCCCTTTTTAGATTGGAAGCCCTCAGGGGCAGGGCCCTCCTTACCATCTTGTCTATAATTGTATTATCTTCCTTATATTGTAAAGCGCTGCTCAAACTGTTGGCGCTATATAAATGCTATGTAATAATAATAATGTAACTTGTGCAGTGGTTGGTGTCAAAGTGCAGGAATCTACAATCGGGAAGAGATTGTACCAATATAACCTGCACAGGAAGTGTGCCGAGAAAAAGGCTTTGCTGTCCAAAAAGACCATTACAGCAACACTACAGTTTACTAATGAACATCTAGGCGAAGACCGTGCCTTGTGAACTATTGTGCTGTGAACTGATACTTTAAAGATGGAGAAGATTCTCTAGATCTCAGTACAATCGATCATCTGTGGGATGTTCTGGTAAAATAAGTCCGATCCATGGCGGCCGATCACCTCACAACTTACACAACTTGAAGGATGTGCTACTGACATCTTGGTGCCAGATACCACAGCGTACCTTCAGAGGTCTAGTGGCGTCCATACCATTGCGTACCTTCAGAGGTCTAGTGGCGTCCATACCACAGCGTACCTTCAGAGGTCTAGTGGCGTCCATACCACAGCGTACCTTCAGAGGTCTAGTGGCGTCCCTACCACAGCGTACCTTCAGAGGTCTAGTGGCGTCCCTACCACAGCGTACCTTCAGAGGTCTAGAGGCGTCCATACCACAGCGTACCTTCTGAGGTCTAGAGGCGTCCATACCACAGCGTACCTTCAGAGGTCTAGTGGCGTCCATTCCACAGCGTACCTTCAGAGGTCTAGAGGCGTCCATACCACAGCGTACCTTCTGAGGTCTAGAGGCGTCCATACCACAGCGTACCTTCTGAGGTCTAGTGGTGTTCATGCCTGGACAGGTCAGGAAAAGGGGGAACTATTCAATATTGAACGCATGTACAGCAGAAAGCTGAAAAAGAATTATTATTAATTTTCTTTAAACTAGGATGGTGTACAAAGAAGTGTTTCACTTTAGGTGAGAGCCATAGAGTAAAATGATGTATTGAAGGGTGTACAGGCTGTTTAGAGCCATCACAAGTACCGGTTTGTAAAAGCAAACCTGAAAAAAAACTCCAAACCCTGAAACATGCGTGCACAGCATAGACTGAAGACTCACCTTTTCCTGCCAACCCAATCAGTTGCAGGTAGATGTGTTTCCTCACCCCGCTACTATGCATGACAAAGGGGTGGGAAATGCACCTCCCTGCAACTGATTGAGTCAGGAGGAAAGGGTGGCGGTCAGAGTTTTGAGCGGGTTAGGGCAACCTGAGTGTGCACCAAGCCCCGCCCCATCACTACTAGAGACATAGAAGTATATCACGCTGGGCCTTGTAGCTCTACAAAAGTCAGAGTCTTGTGTTGCACAGTCCGTGTTGCATATACTGATGTAGCTGGGTGTGGTGGTAATTGCACAGAGTGACCCATTGCTGTAATCTTGTATTCCTCAGATGGCTGACATCCAGCCGTCATTTTATTCTTATTTTTATTATATTTCGCAGTCATACTTAATATTTCTTTGTCTTTTCTCAGCAGCTGCTCCCGCTGGCTCGGTTAGTGTACGTCTGTCACCGATGGATTCTCCCGTATTTCCAGTCCTGCTCACAGCTGTCACCTACCTGTCACTGGTTCTGGGTGAGTAATGTAAAGGTTCAGATCATTACTTTACCTTCTATCACTGAGATGAGTGCTGTATTGTGTTGTAATTCATGACAGCCAGCTAAGTGACCTATGCACAGCGAAGAATGATGTCCTAACTGTCTCTGTCATGTCCATCTGTGTGGCAACCCTGCCGCTGGGACCAGGGAACACTGACTTTTTTAAAAACGATTTTTATCAGTTCATGTTCAGGACTAAAGTTATTTTTGTAAAAGGCGCATTTAGGCATTTAGGGCTTCTCTGCTGATCCTGGTTCTACTACTTAGGATGTCGCTGATCTGGAATAAACATGCAAGATGGGGGCACAAGCTTATTATTAGCTGTAACTGACTGCATGCAGTGGCAGAGGTCCACACTGATTCCTTCGACCTTTTTCTTTTTGGCTTTGACCATCATTGCCACACCACCTGTAGCCCTGTGAAGTGCTGTGGACCTCCTGTAGCCCCACAAATTCCTATAGACCTCCTGTAGTCCTGCAAACTCCTATAGACCTCCTGTAGTCCTGCAAACTCCTGTAGACCTCCTGCAGCCCCGCGGATTCCTGTTTTCCACACGAAATACGGGAAGCATGTCATGCTTCCCGGGCCTACTGTAGACATCACTTCAAGCCGTGAGGAGATGAATAAGCAAAGTCGCGCTCTCAGTGGATTGACAGCAGTCTTTCAGCAGTGAAGACAGAGCAGTCATTTCCAGACATCGTGAATGTCCAAACATGAGGACCTGCAAGTTCTATTCAAACCCAACCACATAGAAATGCTAAAGCAGGGGAGGAAGAGGTAGAAGTAGTCACATGACTTCTACTTTGGATGTAGTGTTCAGCTATGTGACCAATGATTTGGGATAAGGAGGCAGTGGGGAGGTGTTCAGGGAGGGTAATACGTAGAGGCTGTGGCTTGTGGAAATAATCCTGGAACTGGTCTCTTAGAAAGTGAAAAAACATTCAAGTCAATTTTGGTCCAGAAGACAACAAAACCCTCCAGGCAATTGTCTCGCTTGGCTTTTCATGCCATCAGTAACGTAGCTCAACATTGTTCTATTTGCAAACTGCATATGGAGCGGTCCGCACCCCTGTCCGCATGTATAACAGTGGCACTGTGCTGTAAGTAAGCCTTGAAGGGGTAAAAACCCAAATCAACCTTAAAGTGACCAAATTGCTGTAGCAAAAACTTGAACCCAGCATGTGATACCTGTCTGGCAGGTGATGGCTTTAATCTTCACTTTTTTCCCAAGCTACGACTGTCCCTAGTACCTGACACTTCCAGGTGTGTCAGATGCTGCCCCCCCCCCCCCCGTCCCCCCTGCTCTGCACTGTGTCTTCATCCATGCGATGCTATGTAAGTAGACAATACAATAGTGAGGTAGCGCCCGTTGGGGATACCCACAGTGCACAGCGATTGACCAATTATCCAACACAAGCTAAAGTGTCGGATGCTGGTGGCAGCTATAGCTCCTCAAGAGCGAACACTAGAGCTGCCGCCTATCGGACTGGTAATTATAACAGGTAATCTTGTATAGGTGGCCATTGGTTTCATATTTTTCCTGAAAGTGTTGCTTTAAAAAAAATTGTATTACTGTAGAGCAGACCTGGGCATTTTTAGGCCCGCAGACCATATCCAGCCCTTTGCAGATCCTGTCTGGCCTGTGGTGTAGACATGGACCAATTGCTGACTTGCGCTCGGTTATGGCTGGCTGACAGTGGATGAGCCGGCCTCCAAGGCGGGTGCATCCACTGCAAGCCATAGCCCATTGCAGGTCGACAATTGGTCCGTGTCCAGATCACGTTCCTCTTCAGTCGTTTGTTGCTAGGACCGGGGGCATCCTAGCAACCAATGATGTCATGGGTCTTCCTCCTCTGCAGTCATTGGTTGCTAGGACCACTGGGCGGTCCTAACAACCAGTAACATCAAATTTGTTTCCTGCTCCCAGCATTACAGGAGGACGGAAGTGAATCTTCTTTTGTCCTCTCCTGCAGCTCCATCTCCCGAAACTCTCCCCTGGCCTGTCGAGTAAAATTAAGTATGTGTCACATACTATGTGGGGACAACAAAGCTTCAGTCAGGCCGTGTTCATGCCATTCATGTATGGTACCGAGCAGTGCACCTATCGTGTGTTTAGTGTGTCAAGTGTGTTGCATGCACTACTTTTTTCAATCACACAGCAACGCACGGTATTGCGATATCGCCAGGAGGTGCGTTCGGGGTGCCATTCAAATGGTTCAACCCTCCACAACAGTCCCAGTTTCTCATGTGGCCCCTTTGGAAAATGAATTGCCCGCCCCTGCTGTAGAGTCCACTTGGTTATAATACCGGTATAGAGTGAGGTGATTGGGATGAATTTGTCCTTTTTGTCTCCTCTCTCCTCTTTGTGGTTTCTACATAATGTAAAGTTTGCAGCGTAATTTGTATGCGAGTCACGTCGTCTGTCAGGGAGGAGAACTGTAACCCTTTCTCTGCCTCCTTTTTTCTAAACCAATACAGACTGATGATTTTAGGGCAGTTTCTTGTGGAGCGTGTTCATAATATTTCCCACATCCAATCTGATGTCTCAGTCTTTGCTTCCTATCAGCAATACTTTGTATAACTTCGGGTTTATTTGGAGGAAGTGGGACAGATTGGAAGAAGCAGGGAGAATTGTTACTCTGTTTCTGCAACCTGATCATTTAAAGAGCTCTAATTCTCCCCCGCTAACTTGAATGGGTTATAGCAAAGGATCCATAGTACACAGTACACACTTCCAGCACACTGCAGAAGTAGTTACAATGTTTCCCTGCTAACGTGAATGAGTTACATTTTAAGCTGTTCAGGTTAGCTTGGGAGAATTGTAACTATTTCTGCAGTGTGCTGGGTGTGTGTACTGTGTACTATGGATCATTAAACGGTTCAATGATCCATAGTACACAGTTCCAGGACCAGTACACTGCAGAAATAGAGTTACATGTCTTCCTTGCTTCTTCCAACCTGTCCCATGTTCCCGTATCACGCCCGCTGCCAGCCCTGTCACAGCTGCCACATACAAAAGCAACTCACAGGAGCGTGGTCCTTCGTTGGTCGGCGCTGTGCGAGAGTGTCATCCCCTGTCGCTCTCGTGTCCGTGTTGTGGGAGGAGCTTCTGTGAGGTCCTCGTTTAGCTGCCCAGAGGACCCCAACAAGCGCGGTACCTAAGGGCAACCTGGAACTATTTTAAAAATGAAAGTGCCGGTATCGGCGCTATGTATCGGGGCATTTTCACAAGTACTTGTGAAAATGCCCTGTATCGGCCCCGATACTAGCATCGGTCCCCATACTGATACGAGTATCGGTATCGGGACATCCCTAGTTATTTTATCTCTAAGTTAGGCTTTAAAGCAGAACTCTGGGCAAATTGGATCTCAACCCTTGCAGTGGGGCTACCCCTGTACTGCAAGGGTTAAGTGCTCATTTTGTCTAGGGAGCTAAAATAAGAAAGTTAAACTCGCCCGGAGGCATGCAGCATCTTCAGCAGCACGGTGCGTGACACATGCACTGGGAAGGTCTGCTGGGATGCCATTCAGAATGCATTGCACCAACCTGTGTTAACGTCGTGCAGTAGTGTGAATGGGCCCTTGAAATGCACCTGTAATAAACGCAGCGCTGGGAGGGAGGACGATGAGGAAGGAGATGCTGTACTTGTTCTGATGGTGCAGGCCTGAGTAATCTGGAAGTGTGACGTTTGGTAATCTGTCATAAGAATAATACTCCTACTGACCTCCTTATTAAGGGGATAATTGCCTGTTGATCATATTAATCCTTTAATTGCCGTGTTTTCCAAATCACTGTCGTGAAGGAAGTATGCCGGTGAGGAGTTCTGACTTTCATGATTTGCATGCTTGTTCCTGTTGGTGGGAAAACCCTGAAACGAGAAGCAGAGAGTAATTAGTGATTTCACAAGGCCAGCCATGGCAGCCTCCATGTTCCTTTCAGCTTATGTTTCAATTAATGGATGCTTGCAGGGGATAGAAACCACCACCACCCGCTCTGTGTGAAAGGCACCCTCTGCTACCTTTTACTTACCTTCCTTACTGCAGTCCTCTGCCCAGATCCACCCTTCGGCCTCAGGGATAGTCCCGGTACTTCTGGTTATGGAACACCTGAACACTCCCCATATCCTCCTACGTCATGGTGCTCTGGCACATTTGACTAGAACATGTGACCATGCACATCATCTCGGGGGAGGGAAATGCCTTTCCTTGAGATCTTGTGAGATTTCCCAGCAATGGTACCACCTTTATTAGAAATGTTTAGTGATGACAATCTGCACACACATGCTTATAGATAATTGCCGGCTTTGTATTCTTGGCATACCTTGTTTTTATTTTCTTCCCCAGTCTTCTCACAGCGGCCATTTTTACTAAGGGCAGATGACTCCATCTCCCTTTACTTCCTAGTACTCTGGCACATGTGACTAGGACATGTGACCATGCACGTCATCTCAGGGGAGGGAAATGCCTTTCCTTGAGATCTCGTGAGGTTTCCCAGCAATGCTCTGCTGATGTAACCTTCCCAGGATGCAACGCCTGGGCACATTACATCACTAATGCCCAAGAGGACCAGGAAGTATAAAAAAATACATAATAATAATTGTAAGTAAAAGAAAAATATGAATGTAAGATGATTTCATATCAGCATACAGAGCATGCACCTGATGTGACTTTTTGTTTTGGTAAATGGGGGTCAAGGTCTACTTTAACTCCATTTCGGACAATGAAACCGGTTTTCTTTTCAGAAGGCACCATAAGCGGGCCTGCTGGCCTTCTCCTGGCTGTCCAGCCACTCATTTTTCTCTGCATAAATTCTGTCTTTACAAAAGTCCAAACTTGCACTTTTATCTATCCCTACCCGTAATGTGACAGCACTTGAGCGTGGTAATCGGTCACTCAGATGGCGATCACATTGCTTCTGCATACTGGTAGCATTGCAGGTGTTTCATGTCATTAGAGATCACGGAGAGTCTTGTTTGCA